GAGGAGTGGTGCCTGCTGTGACCCTAGGCCTTCAGCTCCATGGGGGCCCCCAGCTGGCAGTCTTACACTCACTCAGCCTCCTATCCCCCTCTTTCCCTGCCAGGTCAACCCTCCCCCTAAAGCAAGAGGAGTATGAGGTGAGTGTTGGCTGCTGGCTGGCAGAGGGAACAGGCGGGTGTCAGAAGATAGGGTTGTGGGCACCAGGGCAGCAGGGAGCAGCCCTGAGTCTGCGCCCACACCCCGCATAGGCCTTCCTGCTCAAGCTGGTGCAGAACCTGTTCGCCGAGGGCAATGATCTATTCCGGGAAAAGGACTACAAGCAGGCCCTGGTGCAGTATATGGAGGGGCTGAACGTGGCCGACTATGCCGCCTCTGACCAGGTGGCCCTGCCCCAGGAGCTGCTGTGCAAGCTGCATGTCAACCGTGCCGCCTGCTACTTCACCATGGTGAGCCTGGCAGCCCTTTGCCCTCATTGTGCCTTGTGTGCCTCTCCTGTCCCTACCACCCCCCCATTCAATCTCAACTGTATCGCAGACTCCCACACAGAGTTTTAAAAGCACAGATGGGGCTGGGGAGATGGCTCAGTGGAATAAGCGCTTCCCTGGCAAGTGCAAGGGCCTGAGTTCAATCCCCGGTTCCGCAAAAAAAGCACAGATGAGCTGGGCATGGTAGCTCACATCTGTAGTGCCAGCCACTCTGGAGGCTGAGGCAGGAGGATCGCTTCAGCCCAGGAGATAGAGTCCCGCCTGGGCAATAGTGTAAGATACCATCTCAAAGTACAGGTGCAGATGCATAATAAAAAGTGTTTAGAGGGGCTGGGAGATGGCTCAGTAGAATAAGCACTTGCCAGGCAAACGCAAGGGCCTGAGTTCAATCCCTAGTTCTGCAAAAAAAAAAAAAAAGTGTTTACAAATAGTATTAATGCCCTAGCCCTGCCTGAGAGGGACTGTGTTAGAATCTTGGGGTGACCCTGGGCATCGGTAGAAATTTGACCCACTTTACTCTTCCCTCCTATCCCACACTCTAGCCCCCTCACTTTCTCCCCAGACTTCTCCTTAGAGCTTCGACCTCCTCCTTTCCCTCCTCCCTCTTCTCCACTGCCTGTCCCCAGTCCTAGTGCTGCACCCTGCTCTGTGGGAAAGGAAGGGAGAGGAGACTGCCCTCAGGCCTTAGGCAGTGCAGGAGCCTGAGGGGAGGGGAGTAAGAGTCCCTTGCTGACAGCAGCAGCTCCTTCCCCCAGGGCCTCTACGAGAAGGCACTGGAAGACAGCGAAAAGGCGCTGGGCCTGGACAGCGAGAGCATCCGCGCGCTTTTCCGCAAGGCGCGCGCCCTCAATGAGCTGGGACGCCACAAGGAAGCCTATGAGTGCAGTAGCCGGTGCTCCCTGGCACTCCCCCACGTGAGTCCATTCTAGCAGAGTGTGGTGGTGCATGCCTGTAATCCCAATACTTGTGGAAGCTGAGGCAGCAGGGTTACCAAGTTTGAGCCCCACCTGAGAAACTTAAGACCCTGTCATGAATGGATGGATGGATGGATGGATGGATGGATGGATGGATGGACAAATGAATGAAAGAGTGGATGTATGCATGCCAGGAATATAATTCAGCCAGAATGTCTTGGGTTAAATTCCTAGTACTACTAAATAAATACTTCAGCCAGGTATTGTGGTGCATGCCTGTCATCCCAGGCACTCAGGTTGAGGCAGGAGGATTGCTTGAGGCCAGGAGTTCCGGGGCCATCTGGGTGACACAGTAAGTGTCTACCTCAGCAGGCGTGGTGGTGCAGCCCTGTAGTGCCAGCACTCTGGATACTGAGGTGGGACTGCCAGGAGCTCAAGGCGAGCTTGGGCTATATAGTTAGACCCTATCTCCAAAAAAAAACAAGGAAAAAGGTCCATCTGAAAGATAAATAAAAGAGAACAAAAACAATTATTTCTTTACCTCGAAATAAAGGACAAAATTGAAAGCGTGAGTTGGTGGGTCCCACCACGTGGCTTCCCAGCCGTGACTTGAGAAGCAGCGCCACTGCTGGGCGTCACTTTCTTTTTTCTTCTTTGTATTTTAGGGAAGGGTCTGCAGGGTGTTCAGGGTCTCACTACTAGATCAGACTCATAGTGATCCACCTGTTTACAGCCTCCCAAGGGCTGGGATCACAGGTGTGCACCACCATGCCCAGTCT